ATGAACTGGCGATTCCGGGCGAAATGCATTCTCATAATTTTAATGTTTTTTTCCCGCTAAGTGGGTTTCTGTGATTATATTAAATGGCAATTTTTAAAAGGTGCCAAGTCAGTCGAATCATAAGGGTACTCAAAATATCCCTAAGAAAAATTCCGTTAGCACAAAGTACTGAACTGTTACGTAATATCAGTGAATGCTGGACACCCATCACGGAAGAAGAAGAGACAGAAATAAAATGTGGCACTAAATAATTTTTTGGCTGGGTGATTTTTTTGGCGGTATATCAACCTGTATGGGTTACTTAATGCCGAAATCTAAAAAGTTTGCATGCAATTTTATGGCTTCAACTACAGATATTTTGTACATAATTTTATACTTTTAGGTTGATTAGTTGGTGTTGTTTAGCGGCATATCAACACCTCTATGGGTTATTTAATTCCGAAATCTAAAAAGTTTGTATGCAATTTCATGGCTTCAACTACAAATATTTTGTGCATAATTTTATATTTTTAGGTTGGTTGGTTGATGCTGTTTAGCGGCATATCAACACCTCTATGGGTTATATATTTGGCTCGTTCGCTTGCTTAAACTCAACGCTGATTCTGATTCCGCAGAACTGGGTTGGGTGTGAAAAAGTATTTGTTAACATTCTTTTTTCATTCGGTTTTTCCAGTTACGAGTCCTTTTTTAAAGCTGATCGTTTTGTGTTCATTTTGTTTAGTTCTTTTTTCGTAACAGATTTAATGTTTAGTATAGAGCTTAGAAAAAATTCGCAGTGTGAGATAGGCAAGAAGTAAGGCATGTAGCAACATCAGCACGGCAAAGGGCACTCCTTTAAAGGCAAGGAAGGGCAAAAATATTTAAGTCAAGTGATAGCGATTGCTGTATGAGTCGTACGATTTTTGAATCAAGCACGGGCAACGCCGGGTCATGCTGCTAGTCAGAAATATACGATCAATAGGCAGAGAGGCAAATTAGTGTCCTAGGAAAGCATTGAAGAAGCCTGGAAAATTCTCTGCAAACGACACAAAACGCGATATTTAGACGAATGAGTACATAATACGACGATGCATAAAATAAGTGTGCCATTAAATATTTCCGAACGCTTAGCAATTGTGGCAAATACCTGCGGTAATCGCCCCCAATTCCTGTGACAAAGAGAGGAAATTGGTCTTCGAAACTTATTATATCATAGAGATTTACCGGCATTTGACGAGACATACTTTCTATTCCTTAGTTTGACAACTTAAACTCGCGGTAGAATATAGCTCTTGAACAAACGGTTCGTTGGAATATCGAAAGATGCCTTCCAAAAGTAAAGCAATGTATGAAGAAACAGAAAGATTTCGTTACAAACAAAAAAGAATATTGAAGAGAAACAAAGAAAAGAGTTCTGAACTATTACGTGATATCAGTCTTCCTATATGGCAGTGAATGGTGGACAATCTGCTCACAGATAAAGAAGAGACTTGAGGCAAGAGAAACAAAGAAAAGAGTACTGAGGTGTTACGTGATATCAGTTTTTCTATATGGCAGTAAATGTTGGACAATCTGCCCACAGATGAAGAAGAGACTTGAGGCAACAGAAAAAAAGAAAAGATTACTGAAGTGTTATGTGATATCAATCTTCCTATAAGGGAGTGAATGTTGGACAATCTGCTCACAGATGTAGAAAAGTCTTGAAGCAACAGAAACAAAGAAAAGAGTACTTAAGTATTACGTGATATCAGTTTTCCTATATGGCAGCGGGTGCTGGATAATCTGCTCACAGATGAAGAAGAGACTTGAAGCAACAGAAATGTCGTTCTATACAAGGATGCTAAGAATACCATGGACCGAACATGTGAACAACAACGAAGTTTCAGAGAAAATGGAAACGTAGTTATTGAAGGAGAACGAGATGAATGAATTAAACATCAATTACAAGAAGATAGAATGCATGGTTGTTAGCATCATGAACAGCCCGACATGCAAATCTTAAAATAGATACCAAAAAAAAAAAAAACTACTTAAATATCTTTTAACAGAGGATGGAAAGTACGACATCGAAATCCGAAGGCGCTTTCGCAAAGCGGAAGTGCCTTCTAAAAGCTTAGCAAAGTATTAAGATACAGAAAAATTTCGATAGAAAAGAAGAAATATACTGAACTATTATGTAATATCAGTCCTTCTGTATGACAGCGAGTGCTGGACAAATTCTTCCCAGGTGAAGAAGAGGCTTGAAGTAACAAAAATGTGGTTCTATAGAAGGATGCTGAGAATAACATGCACCGAACACGTGTAAAGATAAAGTTTTCGGGGAAATGGAAACAAACAGGTCATTTATAGTTCACGTCAAGAAGTGACAGTTAAAATTTATGAGGAAAGAGGATTTGGAAAATTTGATACAGATTTTTGAGGACAGACCGAAGTCAGTAGAGAGAAGAGGAAAACAACGCATAACCTATTTAGCGAGCTTGCGTAAATGGATGGAAGAAGAACAAGAAGAAGAAGAAGAAGAAGAAGAAGATGAAGAAGAAGAAGATGAAGAAGAAGAAGAAGAGGATAATGATGATTTCCCTGTGGAATATAGGGTTGCAGCCTTATCATGCTACATGTTGCTGTTATGCTTTCTTTAGCAAATACGTTTTTATTTTACTGTTTCTAGCCTCGCGCTCAACCGGTTTTGACTTCTGAGTTGTCTTTATCCTAGACATGTATGTATGTAGACTATAGGGCCATCATCTCACCTCAGCGGGGATGATGTAACGAGTAGGTTTACAGGGTGGAATTGTTAGCCCAAATTTGTCCTCTGAGACATGAATATATGGTAAGTCTGTAGACTTTGCTGTGGTGTATAAGGCCATGGACACACTAGCCTAGGTATTGCTGCTGTGGCTGATGTATGAAGTCAAGTTGGCATCCCCACGCCTAACCGGTTTTAGATTCAGAATTGTCCTTCTCCGAGACATAAATGTGAGGTAAGCCTGTACACTCCGCTCTGGTGTATATATCCATGACCTCACCAACCCAGATATTAATGCTCTGGCTTCTGTATGAAGTTAGGTTTTACGGAGAGGAGTTGGCAGGCTCACGCTCAACCGGTTTTGGATTCTGGGTTGCTCTGCTGTTCACTTTGGGGAAGTGGTGGATTCAAACTTTTATAAGTGAGAAAGCGAACGAAACGAACTCGGGCGGAATTTGAATGGGGCGTGCCAATTCCACATTTCGCGCCGACAATTACGAAGTTACGCGTCATTTGCCCAAACATGCTGTAGACAAGACCTTAAATCAGTGGTTTAATATTCCCTAGCGATGTCATGACAGGCGACAGTTATCACCACAACTTTACAAAAAGAAAGGAGGGGAGTTTCTTCTTCGCAGCAGTTCGTTCAGCAACAAAAACCGATACAGAATTTGATAGATTATAATTTTGGAGTAATTTCGAAGAGATCAGGTCAATAATTCAAATTTCCAGCACCCCAGCGCACGAACATTGACGTCTTCGTCAATACACTCATCGTTATTCAAAAAGAAGACTAAATTAATAGCAGAGGTATCGTTAATCTGTCTGAATAAATCTGTGTAAGATATGTTGGAGCAATCATGTCGTGAGTAAATATCGATTGGGGTCCAATACGTATCATGTGTGGATCGTCAGACTCTCCTAACAGCCATGAGTTGATACTTAACAAATCAAAGTCTAGACGTGAAAAGCGATCTGACCAATCGATGGTAAAGGGAAGAATAATGAAAGTGACATTAAAGATCGAGTGAATCGACGTTGCTGAAATTGAGGAAGAAAAATGTTTTTTTCTTTTAAATTTTTCATTTTTCTTTGATTTGTATTCAGTGATATATATATATATATATATATATATATATACACACACATACACACACACACACACATATATATATATATATATATATATATACAGGGAGAGATGGGTAAATTTTCGCCATTTTATATTTTTATTTTCGCGCATGCGCATTGTCTGTTTTTGATTTTGTCGATATAGTAGGGTCAGTTGGACACAGGCTATGAGAAAAAAAACACCATGACGCAATTCACTCCGTCAGAAATTTGGAAACGGCATGGTGTACTGTTTGGCATTCGTGCTGGAAGCTCCAATACGAACATTTCAGAGTGTTTGTGTGTCAATGTGAGGAGAGTGGAGAGGATTCGGAAAGAGCTGGATGAGTCTAATGGTGATTACGAAGATTTTCGGTGTGATCACTAATGATGTCGATGTTATGCTTCCATTCATCTTCCCACATGGTCTCAGACTCAGTTCGAAAGCCTAAATCAAGTGCCTTGAGAAGATAGTACTTGCCCTGGGTCAAGAGGGTTGTTGCTGAAAGACACTATGTCTTGCAAAAAGATTCTGCACTTCACCACACAATTTGTATACTTTTTAATTAAAATATAGGTACATATTAGAAAATACAATAAAAATGCTATGAATTAATATTTATTAATCTGATTTTTTATGAAAAACTTATTTAGAGTGGTTTGCCGTATGATATTCTTCTGTTTTTCATATAATTGACAGTATGGAGAAATTGCTCCTTTCGAAACATATCATTCGTATTTTAACCTGAAAATTTTATTTATAATCTTTAATAATGCATACATCTTTTATATTTCGATATTTTTTAATAAATGTAAATTTCTGTAGCTAATTAAATCGTCCATCTACTTTTTAACAAAAAATCAGAAATTTTCTTTTAAAACTTCAAAATAAACATGAAAAAAAAAAATATTAAAAATTTTTTAATTGAGACAAATATTCAAAAATATATTTTTTATTATCGGATTTTATTATAAAATTTACTTATTTATAATCGTCCATTTTTAACACTACTATCATTAATAAGATAACGCAATAATTGACAAACAAAATAGTTACCCATTTTCCATTGTTAAATTTTAGAAATGTTTAATTAATCGGTAACTATATAAAAATCAATTACTATTGGTTAAACTGGAGAATATTTTACCGCATTAATTGAGTATTATGAATGCACTTATCGAATTTGATATTAGTCGAGGGATTCCTATCTATCTATCTATCTATCTCAGTCTGTTTCTTTCTATCTATCTATCTCAGTCTGTTTCTTTCTATCTATCTATCTATCTCAGTCTGTTTCTTTCTATCTATCTATCTCAGTCTGTTTCTTTCTATCTATCTATCTATCTCAGTCTGTTTCTTTCTATCTATCTATCTATCTCAGTCTGTTTCTTTCTATCTATCTATCTATCTCAGTCTGTTTCTTTCTATCTATCTATCTATCTCAGTCTGTTTCTTTCTATCTATCTATCTATGTCTGTTTCTTTCTATCTATCTATCTATCTCAGTCTGTTTCTTTCTATCTATCTATCTATGTCTGTTTCTTTCTATCTATCTATCTATCTCAGTCTGTTTCTTTTATCTATCTATCTCAGTCTGTTTCTTTTATCTATCTCAGTCTGTTTCTTTCTATCTATCTATCTCAGTCTGTTTCTTTCTATCTATCTATCTATCTCAGTCTGTTTCTTTCTATCTATCTATCTATCTCAGTCTGTTTCTTTCTATCTATCTATCTATCTCAGTCTGTTTCTATCTATCTATCTATCTATCTCAGTCTGTTTCTATCTATCTATCTATCTCAGTCTGTTTCTATCTATCTATCTATCTATCTCAGTCTGTTTCTATCTATCTATCTATCTCAGTCTGTTTCTATCTATCTATCTATCTCAGTCTGTTTCTATCTATCTATCTATCTCAGTCTGTTTCTATCTATCTATCTCAGTCTGTTTCTATCTATCTCAGTCTGTTTCTATCTATCTATCTATCTATCTCAGTCTGTTTCTATCTATCTATCTATCTATCTATCTCAGTCTGTTTCTATCTATCTATCTATCTCAGTCTGTTTCTATCTATCTATCTATCTATCTCAGTCTGTTTCTATCTATCTATCTATCTATTTCAGTCTGTTTCTATCTATCTATCTATCTATCTATTTCAGTCTGTTTCTATCTATCTATCTATTTCAGTCTGCTTCTATCTATCTATCTATCTATCTATCTATCTATCTATCTCAGTCTGTTTCTATCTATCTATCTATCTATCTCAGTCTGTTTCTATCTATCTATCTATCTATCTATGAATATGAAGTAGAGGTGACGCCGAAAACTTTAAATTTTAGTTATGTTTTAGGTATATAGTAGATTTTATTTTATTTAGTCATACGTAAACCTTTTTTACTTTGTTATCGACTACTCTAAAACTTTATATATAAAAATTTATATATTGTTTTCCCACAGAGTAAAGGTTTCCCCAAGCGATCCATCCTTGGTCTTACTTTGCTTTTAATTCTCATTAATGACATTCCTGATGGTATCAGCTCTCAACTTGGTATCTACACTGATGACACAGAATAACTCCTGTCTCGATGGTAGGTCTGATCAATTTGATAAGGTCAAATTGGCAGCTAATGTCCAAAAAGACCTTCAGTCTGTTGTTAACTGAGGCAAAGGATGGCTTGCTAATTCTAACGCCTCCAAAACCAAACTGCTCTCGATTAATCATCTGAGAAACAGCTCCCTGCCTTTGCATCATCATGGCTGATGCTAACCCCCAGGAAAGTGACTCGTTGCGCCTTCTCAAGCTAACATTCTCGGCTGACATGACAATTAGTTCATTGTGTCATGCTAGACATTTTTTCTCTTCAGAATCTATCTTACATATCTATAATCTGCCATTCACACATGCTTAGAATATTGCTGCCACATATGGTCAAATGCTCCTGCTATTTATCTAGAGCTCCTTCATAAAATCCAAAGAAGAATCGGTAATATTATTGGTCCTGACCTGGCGTCTCGGCTTCAGTCATTTTCTTATTGCCATAAAATTGCTTCCCTGTGCCTTTTCTATAAATACTTTCATGGTAAATTTTCGGCTGAGCTATTCTCTATGTTACCTAGACGTTATGGATTTAAGCGTCGATATCTTATCAATTTACTTTTGAGTTGGTTAAGATGTAACCGTAAGTTCTATGTTAACAGCTTTTTTTTTTTTTTGCTTGGGGGACTCCATTCCGGTGCCATGCTTTTCAGCTGACTTTAATCTTCAAAAATTTAAATGCAATGTCTCGCACCTTATTAATGTTTCTCTTTCTAATTCTTCCGCATCCAGTAACCTTCTTGTGTCTTAGTGGCTTTATGGCCTTGCTTGGGGGCGAACACAATTAAAAAAAAAGATAGATAGATAATGAAATAGAGTGAGAGAGTGAGAAAGAGTGGAAATGAAATATATAGTAAGAAATATCATAAAATAAAATAACAGTAGAGAGAGAGAGAGAGAGAGAGAGAGAAGGAAGAGTGGGGAGGGGGGAATGAAAAATAAGGAGAGAAGAAAGGGATAAAAAAGAGAGTAAAAAAAATTCGTGAAAATAAAAAAAAAGAATAACAATGGCAGTTATAAAAATGGATAAATCATCGAGAAAACGTAAGAAGAGTGTGAAGCCTTAAATAGAGATGAATGGAATAAAAACCACAATTATATGAAATAGATAATCGATATTTAATGTCCAGAAGACGAAATTAGAAAAAAGAAGAAAATTAAAAAAAAAAATCAATTGAAACCATGATATATTTTATCAATTTGTGTCCTGTCTGTTCGTCGTGACTCTAAAGTCATTTTTAACTAAAGTCCTTACGACAGGTTTAATTAAGATATTCGTTTCAGCAAAAAGAATTTTATCAGATTAAATACACGCTTCAGAATTTAAAAAAAAATATAAATGTTAATTGTTTACTGACTCAAATCTCTCGATTTGTTCTTGTATACCATTCATTTTTTTCCTATTTATATTTCTGAACATTCAATTAGAATCCTTTATTACGAAAGCGATTAAAGAAAACAATTTCAAAATTCCTAACCGACACCTTAGTTATCTTTTTATATATTAAGTTATACTATATAAAATCAGAGTCAGATCACTGGAAGTGTGACCCTGGCTGTAACTTCGGGTGATCAGCGACTAAACCGGTACCCCCATCTGGTAATAAAAATTCCAAGTAAGATAAAAAAAAATCTTTTGGTTGCCTGTGATATTGGAAAAGGATCTCTGAATTTTTATGCTGTTTCTAATTTTGAGTGGATTTCTACAGAATAGTTTTGTCATATAAAGTTGACAACACGATACGATGCTGTAACACCTTGAACCTTAGCATGTGCTACGTGTAAAAGTCTTATCTGATCTGGCATTTGATATTTCTGTTGTGAAAACATCTGATTCCTTTCTCTTTTTGATCTCCTTTTTATTGTCTGAGACGAATTGTATTATATACCCTACCACTTGCAGATGCATTTTGTAATGCACTAGTTGTGCCATTTGTGAATAACAATATCTTGTATTTCTCGTAGGATAGTAACTGGACACGTATTAGGATAAAAAGACCTATGAATGGGTGGATGAATCCTCTGGTCGGGTCAGTGGTCATCTAATACAAATGTTACCTGGTACAGAGTCTTTTGGGAATCCTTGGCTACGCAAGGGTTAAGGAGGATACCCCGAAATAAATCCGTTCTGCACTTACGAGGGGGCAGTATATAGGGTCTAACTGCATGCTGCAACCGGAGCAGCTGTTGATCGTCTTGGATTTCCCGTGACTGCAGTTAACACCAAGTTAGTATGATTAGGTTGTTTTTGTTTAGCGGCATCTTTATAGGTTATTTAATGCCGAACATCGAAATATGAAAATTCAAACTATAATTAATTTAATTTGATTAAATCATTACTTAGCTGCATTGTTTTACCAAACAATCTTACAAAATAAAATGAGGAGCGGAAAATTGTTTCTCCTTACAAGAAATGAGATCAATCATAGACAATTTTTTTAAAAATTTTTTTATATATTTTGACAATATATGCAATGACTTCAAATTTTATTTTACTATAAAAAAAGTATTGCGGACAATTTTAACTATAAAAATGTAATGTTGGTCATTTTACGATAAAAATGATATTGTTGGTATAAGATCATGGCGAGATCTACGACAACTAAATATCCGTAGAAATTCCCCGATCGCATCGTTAAATATTTGAGCTTAACAACTTTAACAAAAGATTGCAATAACAATCATAAATATGAATGCTGATTATTATTTTAAGAAGTAAGGACAACCTTTTCTATTTCACTGGAACAACCGTTAAACATTCCTATCTTTCCGTCTTTCCTTCTTTCTTTCTTTCTTTCTTTCTTTCTTTATCATGGAAAAAGAAACGTCTGTGATATATCATTTCCGTCTTTTCACAAGATCAAAACGGAATATCCATAGAAATTCCCCGAGCGCATCATTATATATTTGTGCTTAATATCTTTAACAAAACATTGCAATAACAACTATAAATATGAATTCTGGTCGTTATTTTAAGAAGTAAGGGGGTACAAATGAAAAGATTTGAAATTGACATCTTTTTTTCTAATTGACTGAAACTGGCGTTGAACACGTGTGAATCATATCGCCACTTCTCTTTCTTTTATTTTCTCACTGATATGTCTTTTCCGTCTTTCTTCGCGATCAAAACGTAATAGTCTATTACTTATGAGGTATTAACAAGGCGTAACGTACGTACGTGTTAAATAACTAAAAAAAGATATACTCAGAATTCCAAAGGGTAATTTGTACGTAAACGAATATAACAAACCCAACTGGAATTGGAACACGGCTCACCGATTAACAGTTCCGAGACATTATCCATTACACCATCTGTACATAATGGTATCCTCAAACGGTCACCCACCTAAGTACTGACAAGACTCGACGTTGCTTAAATTTGTTGTTTCACCGTTATGTGGCCGTAAGCCACACCCACATGGATGTAAGGCATGGCGTCCAACTCTTTCAGAAATGACTAAGCTGTCAGAAAAATGTCCAGAATATCTTGGACAGAGCATGTTAGTTATTACGAAGTTTTCAGCTGATTGAGAACATTAAAATATCTATTATAAATATAATAAGCTTTTTTC